TCTCCACAAAAAAAAAAAAAAAAAAAAAATCTGAGTACAATAAAAGCAAAAAAAGTCCAAATGAGAAAGGGAAAACAACAAAAAACAAAAGCCAAAAAACAAACCCAAAACAACAAAGCAACTACCAAAGAAAACAAGGCAGCACATATTTACACCCTACAGAAATCAATGCTCTGCAGAAATTGGATGGGAGGGAGACAGCGGGGAATCAATTGTTTTGCACATTTACAGTAGGAGGCTGGGAAATAAAGGGAAAGTGCTCTGGGTCTGCACGGAAACAAAGACTTTTTTTTTCTTTTTCTGATCTTACTTTCTGCCAGCTCGCCTGCTTTTTCTCTCAGTGTCATGACACATTAAACGCGAGATTAAACTGTCACTTGTTTTCATTCAAACCTCATCTCCTTCGGTGTTCGCATTAAATACACTGAGGGGCGTAAAAGGGATTTGTCAGGCAAATGAAAAAATGTGTTTCCCGACAAAGGTTAATGATCACATCTTGCTATTCGACGTACCCTCTGACATGAGCAATGGCAGAAAAACAGTGTCGGCACGACATGAGCCACAGGTTAAAGACCTTCTGGTAATGTGAAACAGCAATGGACAATAACGATCAATGAGGACCGGGCAGGCATGAGCATCAGTTGTAGTGACATTGGCCAAAGGAAGGTGGAGGAGGATGTGACGCTGTAGGGGCACACAACACACACACACACACACACACACACGCACACATAAACACACACACACACACACACTCTGGCCCATTATTTCCTACATGCAGAGTACAGCTTTCTTGTTACTACACATTCGCTTACGTCTTGTCCATTTGCAGTGTGAGATATATTTGTAGGGCTTGGGCAAATTATTCATCAAATATGAAGAAAAAAATATATATAAATATTTTTTCAATGTGTCATGAACTATACAATTTTGTTACAAATCTATTAAATGACTCCAGTGTGCTGTAAAGGGGTATATGAAGCAGCGTTGACTTGCGGATGAGAAACCCGATGCACAGCAGAGCAGGAAAAGCTCCAAATCCGTATTTGACTTGCAATTAATTTCTCAAATCTAGTCGGTTATGGATTAGAAATCAGCGAACCGTCACAGATTGCCTTGGGTGAGCTCAATTTGATGGATGCACCAAAAAGCTATCGAATTTGAAGTATTTTTTTAGAGTGTGTGTGCACTCTTGATTAGTCTTAAGTTTCAGGCTTTCTGCTGCCAGAGGGTGAAAAAAAACCCCAAGTTCATTCTTGACAGTGTCGTAATCATTCACGTGAAATGTGAGTCTCTCTGCAATTGTTGCTACGTGAGCATGCATATACGTATTTAAACTTTTTAGAAAATGCAAGCAATTCAAGAATGCCACTTCGCTTGTGCGCTCAGCCGAAGAACTTGGTATGCTTCTGGTACACCGGGAAGAAACCTGCCCAAGACGTTCAGGCATGTAACATAACAGTAATAAATGTAATTGCACTTATCTGTTTGTCCTCCCAAATGTACAGTGTTTCCTGGTGGACCAACTGATCTTTGCTGCTGCATTTAGCTCTTCCTTGGAGCTTAAGCACCAACAATGTGAAAGTTTTTCACTTCAAATCTCCAGACATCTTTTTTTTTTTTTTCTCACCCCACCACGAGCAAAATGAAAATAATAAAGACAGAAGACCGAGGAGAGAAGAAAAACATTAAAATAATAAATAAATAAATAACAATCCAACAATACAAATAAATAAATAAAAGAAGCAAAAACCTCCCAGCAGGAATGAGGGGGTGTTGGGGAGCTTGTTGTGTATTTAAATCCTAAACAAACAAAGTTGGAGTCCACACAAAATAAAACCTGTTTGCGTTGTGGGCCTTGCATGGATAGACTTGAACTTCAGCTCGAACATGCATCATTAAGCATGCAGAGCCTTTGCAGCCCACTCCTCAATGATGAAAAAAAAAAAAAAACGGACAGTCACAAAACCAAAATAATCACTCCCAGCAAGACAAAATTGTTTGTGTTCTACTAAAGAAGGATAATGCTGCAATGGTCAACGAAGTAACTTGGCACTGACAAGAATGAGAATAAAATAAAACAGAAAAATTGCCTATGGATTTATTTTAGTGGACCTATTGAATTTTGGGAAAGCAAGAAAGAAAAAAAAGAAACTGTACTGGACAAAAATGATGGTTCAACCCCAAAATGTTGTTGTTTGTTATCATGGTGTTTACCACACTGAACATGTAACAGAGTGCTCAGGAGAGGATGTTAGAAAGACGGGATATTAGAAAGACAATATACATACCGTATTTTGCGGACTATAAGTCTTTTTTTTTAGTTTGGCCGGGGGTGCGCCTTGTGTGTGAAATTAACACATTCTTATATCATTTCACGTAATTTTCACATGAAACCGCAAGGCGGGTGATCTAGGCCTGTCTCTATAAATCAACGATGAGTGTGACATAAGCGTCAGAGAAGAGCAAGCGCCGCATCTTCTCCCACCGGAGTTGGTGGTGTTTTTTAAAAGTGACACCAAGGATGAAGATTTCAAAGGATTTCATGATTTGGAGTGATACTGATGGGAATTGTTAGCATGTTCTTTCTGCTATAGTTATCTGAATTACTCTTAATATGTTACATGAACATACCAGGCATGTTCTCATTTCGTTGTTTGTACGTCATGTAACATGAGCATATGGTACACTCATTCAGCCTGTTGTTCTCCATTTTATTTTTATCTAAAATTGCCTTTCAAGATGACATCTGATCTTGGTGTTGGAGTTTATTAAATCAATTTCCCCCAAACATGCGACTTATACTCCGGTGCGACTTCTTTATTATGCATTTTATGGCTGGTGCGACCTATGCTCCGGAGCGATTTATAAACCGGAAAATATGATAATTCCTTACCTGTCAGTATTGGTTTGTGTTGACTTAATTTATTTCGAATTGTCACCATGCGTATTGTTCTGGTGTTAATCAAACACAACTTTAAAATCATGTTTGCATCATGTTTTTTTTTTTTTTTTAATTCCTCAATTAATTGTTCAGCCTTGGGGGTTATCATCGTTTGACCGGCTGGTTTGCTGGATCATCAGATGATATACTCTAAATGAGTTTACTTTTCAGAGAGTGAGTACTATACACAAAATATTTCCGTGGTGAACTAGCATGAATACGCCAATTATCTATAAAAAGAATTGGGTATTTTCAAAATGTAGATCTTTTGACATTAACCCCCCCCCCACCCCACACACACATCAACATCATTTAAAAGATATACCTGGAAACACATTTGTCAGCTATTAAATACTATCCCTCCAGTCATTATCTGGAAAAACAAAAGTTGCTGTCATGATCCAGTACTTCATATAAAAAAAGCAAAAAAAACAATTAAAAACAAACATAAAATTGGAGTATTTCCCCATCTGCTCGCAGGCCCACTCACGTTGGAATTTTCCAAAAGGTATATATTTTTTTCCTACCATGCTTATAATTGCCTCCGAATAAAGTGGTAAAGCATGGCTGCCATTTGTTGCAATATGACAGCGTACTTTTGTCCGTGAACCACAGAAGGCAATACCAACAAAAGTACCAAGATCCAGCATCAGACTCGATAAGCTTAATGAGCCAGACAGTGAGTACCACATTACAGGGGATGGAATCGGTCCCTCAAAAAAAAACAGTCCGGCTCCCAACATGTTCTTCTCAGACAAGTATCTTCTCGACTGTCAATTTCCTCAAACAAGATGCAGCCCAAAGTATAACATGCAAGGATAAATCAATAATCAGTTTTCACCAGAGCAACGAGAGCAGGATTTCAAAAGAGCAGGGCAGACAGAATACTGTATGGGCAGAATTGAGATCGCTCCTCTTCCAATATTTTATTGGTCGAGCTGCTTTTCCAAAAGAAACTCCACCAGCACGATGACGCAATTGCACAAAGCGAATCGACTGCATTGTTTTTGCAATGTACTGTACATCAAGGGAGGCTGAAATCCTTCTTTTTTTGGGGGTGTGGGGGGGTGAAACTGTCTAAAGATCTTGTGAATTGCTGTTTCGGGGTTTACATTTTGTAATGACACCTAAAAGAAATACAGGTACAATTCCAAACAGTCGTGTGATTTGGGATGAAACTTTGGGATGAAACTCACGGCCCACAATTCCAAACAGTCGTGTGATTTGGGATGAAACTCACGGCCTCCCGAATATGGCCATTGAGATGAGACAAGCATGGACATGTCACAACTGGGCTCGCAAATGTTCTTCCATTATTTTTGGGGGATGATTGGATGAAAAAGAAAAAAAACAAAAACACTTCAGGGTTAATAATAATGGGAGCAAATAGAAAAATATTTATCATTGAAACAGGAGCAGGACAGTTTCAGCTTTCTAACACTTAGATCCCACACTGGAAAAATGAGTAAGGCTCCTCTTTCTGTCCATCAGATGTTTCAGCAGAAAGTCTTATTTTCTTGCCGTTTGAAAAGATTTTGTATATACAAGATAAATACACTCTGTTTAGTTATTTTTTTACCCTTGATACGATAGCGAATGTCTTGACATCATCATTGCACACCTCAAAAAGTGTCTCTTTTGTTCATGACAACAACCAAAAAAGAAGAGATAAATAATGAACCAGTTTCTGATCTTGATGGCCAGTCCATGTGGCAAATGTCGGTCTCACAAGTTGTTTAGTTAATCTGGTAAAGAGTTCCAATATCTCCAAGGTGGATCATCACTTGCATGTATGGGGCGGGGAACAAACAAACAAAAAATAAAAACAAGATCCCTGTGCATTGCTTGCTTTGAGTCTTTTTTGCTCCACAAGTCAGTGAATAGCAACGCTTGACATGTTTGCCAAAAGTTTACAGAGCGCCGTGATGTCACGCACTGGACCGCGGGGAATTGTCAGGCAGTATTCCCAATTCATCCACAGGCTGAGCCCAAGTCAACGCGATGATTCAACGTGCCCCCACGAGGCACTGCTTTGCTCTGTGATGGCGGGGGGGGGGGTGGGGGGCGTGGGGGGGTTCAGGGAGCAAAAAAAGGTCAGAGATGATGCTCTCCGAATTTTCCTCTTATAATCAAAGTCCATCATGATTCCAAATGGGGCAGTGAGAGTGGTCAGTGGACCTCTTCAAGGATACAGTATGTACATGACTCGGCAATCATTTTTGCTCACAGGTTCAGCATCTTGTTGTTGGGCTGTACGCGTCTACAAAAGGTCTGCCAGTCTTTTAACAGGACCTTGTACATTTAAAGTGTGTTGCTGTGGAACGGTTTTACAGGCTATAACTACTCGATGAACGCCAACTCATCACGATCTGATTCCGATGCCAATTTGTTTCAAACAAAACCTCAGACATTTAGTTTTGTGTGCAACAATTTGGCAAAGATGCTTGTTTTTCATATTTTAAGAAATGCCCTCAACGTACGTTCAGTTTAACGAAGAATTTTTTTTTTGTAACTCTTTGGTTTGATATGTATACGGACAGAATTAATTTGATCGCACATCTAAAATTAAAAGTCAAACAAAGCAGATACGAGCTCACGGTAATCGTTCACTGTGAGAGAGGACTGATCCTTTTGAAATAATGATCGAAATTGGTTCAACAGCCTGTTGTACTCCTTTCTGTCCCAACAGTCAAGAGTACATGCACTGTCACAACCTTGCAAAAACACAACCCTTTCTGTTGAAATGGCAAAAAAAAAACAACATACCGTACACAATTTGAAAAATAAACTTCTGTTTTTATATGTCCCAGACCATCGTCAATTCGCCGTTACGGAAAATAACGCGTTATCCCGGGGGACTGTGTATTCGCTCAGATTGTGTGTAACATGAAAACTAAAACCTTTCTTCTTACTAACGTTCCAAACCCGAGGTCAATAACCAGCTCAGCTGCCCCATTATTCTCAAGTCACAATTCATCAGAGGCTGACGTCCAGCTTGCTAGCGTCCAAATTTAAGTGTGCCGGTGCGCTCAGTGGGAAGACCGCCGCTGGGAGCCTCGGTCGTCGGCCTGAGTGCTGGTGGGGGTGAACGGGGCCCTGGCATTGAGGGCCCTATGGTGGCAGCGGCGGGCACGGCCGGGAGCGCCACTGTCTGTATTGTGGCCCTCTCACAAGGCCCCAGGTCTTCGAGGCCCTCCAGACACTGAGGGGGGCCCTCATAGCCCATGTTTAGCCGCAGGGGTTGATGAGCTTGGCAGTAGTCTACGATCGGCTGCTCGTATCGGTAGAAGGTCAGTGCGCCCATCTGATGAGGAACCTGTTTCGAGGGTGAGGAGAGGAAAGGAGAGTTGGGACAAGAAAAGAGACAAAAAGATTTTTTTTTTCAATTAGGCAAACTGCTTTGAAAAACGAAACCAAAAAATTAAAACAGTGCCTATGGCAAGTGTACATGAACACAGACAATACCAGATTTCAATTGATAATGTTCCAACTTTAACCCTTTCAGGGACAACGGTTACTAGAGTGGACAGCTACTCACATGTTTTGTCTTATATTAATTCATCATAATGTCACAGTTGTGCATCAACCACTACTATGGACCGTGATGTGTGTTGCCATCCACTGCCATTATTTGTTTTTTCATGAATAAAAACACCTGACCAAAAAAAAAAAAAAAAAATCCTGAAGTAGGTTATTATTATTTGCGCATGAAAGGGTTAAAGTCAATATTTGCTGCTGCGGAAAATTTGCAATACACATAGATGAAAGGTTATTGTGGAAATGTTACTGCAGTTACAAACGGTTGCCTTTGCGAATCCTGATAAAATCCTGATAAAATTATGCCCTTACTTGAAAATGTTGTATCTATATTTTAAGAAGTTAAACACGTACGTGTAATCTAATCATGATCACTTTCTGGATGGATGCAGATACTCTGTTTGATTTGTTGACTTGATATTTTTTAACGGGCACGGTGTGTCAGAGCTGCGGGGATTTCCAGCAGGTCTTGTTATTTATTTCATGACTGCAATCACTCATATTTTTGATGTTCAGCTTCAGGGTTTGGAATATTTTTGTTAGAGACCTGGAACCAAAAGTCTGGCAAACTTCATCACCATCAATGAAATAAACACTGGACTTTTTTAAAACCATACATACAAACGTTTTTTAAAAAAAACACATACACTAACACACACACTTTTCTCCTAAAAGATGAAATCTTCCTTGTAAAGGTACCGGTATGTGGAAATTATTTAACTGAAAGGATATTTTTAATTTGTGACTGACTGGCAACCAGTCCTGGGTGTACCCTGCCTCGTTCATCAGCTTCAAGTTCCCAAATGCAGGAGCAAAAAAAAAAAAAAAAAAAACCCAAAATGGGACCATGGATATATTTAATGGTGCATTAAAGCACTTTTATGCCTGGTAGGATTACGCAGTTTTTTTAAGCACTACAAAGATTTGAAATGTCCTTTTTTCATAATGGTCATAATCTTTTCAAGTGTCGTTTAATGTGCATTTGTGGCTCAAATGGTTCAACCCAATTGGCAGCTTATTGCTGGCCCGCAATCATCATCCTCACATGGTGACCACATGCGTCTTCAGTGATTGCTGTTTACAAATGTGATGCATTTTAATGTGAAAATAGGGTTAGCCAGGAGATTTAAAAAAAAAAGAAAATGCAGATTTGGATGGGGGGGTTGAGTTTTGAACACAAATCACACAGGCACTCGAACAAATAAGCCTGTACTTTGTCTCCTGTGTCATGCCGTTTGTGTCACAGCCAGGAGCACATGTCACATCTGGCCATGTATTTAGTGTGTGACCCCGCTCCCTATCCAACCTCAACACCATGCCAAACAAGCACATGCGGCTCTTGTGGCCACTCATCCCGCTTAGTTTTCCAGTGCAGAATAGATCCAATAAAACTCGACTGATTACAAGATTTGTAGATGGCTTAGAAAAAAAAAACATGAAAAATAACAGGCAAAGATAGCACTTGATCCAGATGCCTAGCACAGCAACATCATCAGATACGTGCACACAGGCAACAAAAATCTAGTCACAGCACCAGATCCTTCAAATGCATCCCAAACATGCATGACATGAAACTAACCTCAGAGAGGATTGGAAGTAAATCAAGTTTAGTTGGAAAGTTTCCGACCGTAAACCACAAGATTCAAGTATGAACTCAATAGCAACACACTCAAGTTTAGGTTTTAGGGAAAACACATTTTCGACTGACTGATTAGGCCGTGTGACGAGTTGGGGCCTTGATGTTGTCAGTTGCTCCGGTTCTTTATTTTGTCATAAAGGATCAGGCGTGGCCTAAAAACTCTCAGTATGTATTTCTCATCTATTGAGAGAAAATATTGACCCACTTTATTTTACATGTGTAAAAAAAAAAACAAAAAAAACAAACGAAAAAAACAAATGGAAACCAAAATTGTATATTGGGGACGGGGAATCAGTTTAATTTGAACAATCTTATTGCGTTATGTGGATGCTTCATCAGATTTTGGATCCATCTTTTACTTTTTGACCGAGACACAGATTTTTGAGAGTTCAACGTTAACGAGACAATGTTATAACTTGCTGTTGGTTAAGTGAACTGTGTTGCTGCTTTATTAAATACATTTTACTGACATCTGATCGTTCTGTTGGTGTTTTCTTGAGCATAGCTCCGTCTAGTGGATGCATTGTAGATTGTGTCTTACAATGCGGTGTGCCCAACGTATGAACAAAATGACAAAATAGGCCATTCATTGAATGTGCGCCTCATAATCCAGTGCGCCTTTTAGTGTGGAAAATACGGTATTCCAATTCATAATTTGTAATCCTTACATTTGATCTAAGTCATTTTTGTAGATAAGCAAATCAAAAAGCAGATCTGAAAATGTTAATTTCTAGAAAGCATCACGTCGAATCTTAATCACGCTGATTATCTTAAAAAAATAAAATACAATTTAAGCAGCAACAGACCGTTTAAGTGACATGACAATGACGTTACCGCAGCTCACGCTTAACCCATGAAAAGCCAAATGAAAATAGTCAAGGCCAACGTAATGCAGTTCGAGAATTACCCAGAACCACCCCAGAAAACATCTGCAACACCAGGTCTGTTCTAAATAAAAACGCTTGCTTCCAGCCCGAAGCTAGCTCATAACATGATTATATTGAGTCGCGCCACACTATAATTCAGCACTTGTGCAACACTGCAGTCATATATTCTTATAAAGCAGCTACTGCGAGCTGGTGTCTAGTCTAGCTTTAAGACGAATAGCAGACCTATCCCCTTTTCCGTCGCCCTACCAAGCTTTTCTGTCAAGCAAGAATCTCCATAACCAGCAGCTCTCCTACTTCCTGAACCTCCTCCCTGCTCAAATGGTCTCCATTAAGTGAAGCTGACTCATTACATTAGAGGCACTCAGTGGATTACTCCCATCATTTCCCTCTCAGTTTAAGCCCTTCACCAACCCGGCCTCGGCCGCCACACCACCACCTCAGCCGCCGTTACACACATCGCGGTCCACCTCACCTCTGCTCACGGCTCCCTGCCCAGTGCATTGAATTAATTAACTGATATTAACTCCAAAGCGTCTCGGTGGATCCGATCAGGGTGCGAGGGCGTTCATTTGCCCTTGTGCAGAATTTGTGCGACGACGGTAAAAATGATGGCTACAAAGACACCCACTGTAAATATATTTTTCAGCCTCGCTGTAAGACGCTGAAATGTACTGTAAACAAAGGCATGACTAAAGCTAGTCAGGTACAGATTGGCTCCTTGCGAACAATTTCAGGGTGCCCATCAAGCATGAAGAAACGCTTTTTTTACACTGATAGTGGAGCTGTGTGAATGATAAAGATCGCGCCCGACGTGAGAGAGAAAGCTTTTGATAGAAATGAGCAGGAGGTTATGCAAACAGTGGAGGAAATTGCTCGTCTCACAAAGAGTAAACAACACGCAGCGACTTCCCAGAAGAATAGCAAAGCCCGTGATGCAAAAATGTAATACGCAAAGTAGCAAATAGTACTGTATTAGGGGCCAAATACTTTTTCAACAAGTCACCATTTTTATGTCAAACCACCGACACAGACTCAGGAACATTTAAGACCAGCAAATGCTTTCTCTCGAGAGCAGGGGTGTCAAAGTCATTTTTGTCGCGGGCCACATTGAAGTTACCCTTTCCCTCGGAGGGCTGGTATGACTGAAACTATATTAAAAAGTCGGGAAGAACGGTTTATTCGACTATTGTATAAGTTATGTAATGAATGGTTTGGTGGCAAGAAAATGCTGACAATATCTTTTGTTACAAATGAGAAGTTGAAATTGCGTCCAGATTTTAGCAAGAATAATGGAAGATGACATGTGTGATATGCTTTCACGGCCCACATAAAATGATGTGGCGGGCCAGATCTTGCCCCTGGGCCTTAAGTTTGACACCTGTGTTCTAGAGCGTTGTACAGTACTTGCAGTCCCATCAGTGTGGGGTAATCCAGTACCATATGCCCAATGGCTACAATATCAAGGGAGTCCAGTGCACAGGTCAAGGAGGAAACACTTTTAAACCTTTTCATGCACCCTGTAAGCTGATAACATGATAAGATGTCCACTGTAGTAACCGTTGTCCCTGAAAAAGTTCAAGCTATGTTGAACAATAAAAGTGATGACATTTCTGGAACTGAGGCTCTCCTTCATGTGTGAGAAAAACTGGTAGGAGTGCTTCCTGTGATGCCACAAATAAGCTTTGTGTGTTTCACAGTACCTTTATATTCAGTTCATGTGCATGATACCGAATGTGACTCAGGAAGCACAATGAAAGCAACACGCAGAAGAAAAAAAAATGTTTCCCTCGCATGGTTTCTTTATGTATGAGAGATGAGGTTTGGTCGAGTTATTGGAATGCTTATTGTACACATCGCAGTTGCAAGGCTATTTGCATGAAGGAGAAAAATAACGGCGCCACCCGTGCTGCACTGCTGGCTGCGTATTTTGATCCTTTGGGTGTCTGCCACCAATATCTGCGCTTCTGCTAACAATGACTGGCGCGGCGCCTCCTCCTGGATCCTGTCTCTGTATGCCTGAATACACTCTCGTACTTTGGTGACCTTCATTCCCAACGCTCTGAAACAATTTGAAACAGCAGCGTTGTGTAGAACCTGCAGAAAAGACCACCACTGTAGAAACACTTTGATCAGAGAATTGTAAACAGTTTTTTTCCTGACGTTTTTTTTTTTAATTAGTTACGACTCAACAATTCAAATTTGACTGTAATGACTATAAGACAAGAAAAAAAACAGCTCAGCAAGTACTTG